CTGCTGGCTGGCTTCAGCCAGTGCGCCCCGAGCCCTCCCGCTGCAGAAACCCACATTCTGCGAGCCAGACCTTGGCGGGTTTCCTCTGCAAGAGGGAGATGCAGCCTGGGGTTGGAGGCGGTGGCCATGGCCGGCTGGCCCACCTCTGGCTTAGTCTTCTCAGGAGGCAGTGAGGCGCGGGGAAGGGTCTCTGAGCTGTTCCTGGCCTGATGGCCCTGATGCGTCTCACACCTTCCAAGGGTCGGGACTGTGGGTACGGCCAGAGCAGGGGTCGCCCAGGGTGGCCAGGGCTGGGGACCATCTCACTGATGCAAGTTTTCTAGAACTGCCACAAACAGTTCAGAACGAAAGACGTGTGATCTCCATCAGGCTGGAAGCCAGAATTCCAAAACCAAGGTGTCAGGAGGCTGTTTCTCATCCTGGAGGCTCCCGGGAAGCATCTCCCTCGCCTCTTCCAGGTTCCGGGGCTGTAGGCATTCATTCCTGGGCTGTGGCCACGCCCCTCCAGACTCTGCCTTTGTGGCCTCCTCTGTGTGCATCTGAATCTCTTCCTCCTCTCTCGTGTGGTGGCGGTCTTTGGGTCCAGGCCCACCCTAATCCCATACGGCCTCATCAGGCTCACATCTGCCAAGATTCTATTTCCAAATAAGGTTTTAGCTCGATGTGGATTTTTGTGGGGACGCTGTTCAACCAGCATGTGGTAAAGGCCTATTTTTCCCTGTTGCACACAGTCCCGCTGGAGCATGGGAATGCTTCTCAGCTTAGACCAGTCCCCCAGAAGAGACTGGCAAGGGCAGCGTGGCGGAAGCATTCTCTGCACGCCCCCCGGTGTCTGATGCTCCCGGCTCCCTGAGGCCTGACTGTTGGCTCCCTCACTGCGTAGTAAGCGTGGGCCGCCGGAGCCCCGCACTGCACCCCACGGTCCCCCCGGCCCTGTGGACTGCTCACACAGAAGCTGGGTGGGCCACGGCCGCTGGGCAACTTTGGGGTCTTGTGCGCACTGGCAGGGCTCAGGAAATACGGGGGAGGGGCTCTGGTAGTTTTCTCCGGTGTCCAAAGCCGCTGGGTCTCCACCCTCCAGGACTCTTGCCTGTCCCTTGTGCCGGCCACAAGGATTGTGACTTCTGTCTTCTCGCACAGCCCAGCGTGTCTGGCTCCCGGAGGCGCCTCCTTGACAAGGGACCTTCTTGGCCAGCTCTGTCACGGCATTGAGGTCCCGGGAGCCCAGGCGGGGGTGCCTTGTTTGGGATGGTGTGGCAGACAGAGGGGCCGTCCCTGCCAGCAGGGCACTGGCCTTGGATTGGAGGGGACTTCAGGGAGAAATGTAAGCCCAGGAAAATTTCTGGACAGCCCCTGGGGGTGGAGGTTGGAGGCCGGGGAGGGGAGGAAGGAGGGGTCCTGACTTGATGCTCTAGGACCCGTGATCCTGCCCCCAGATAGCGGCTGGTGGATTCTGAGACCCACCTCCGATCTCAGTGTCCAGAGCACAGCACTGTGCCTTGGCACCAGCGCCCAGGCTCCTGTGGTAGGGTCCACGCCGCACTCCCCCCGCCCTCTGGAAGGAATTTTGAATTTATTGTACTTCTTTCTATTATTGGGGTCGTTGGCTGCAGCAGTCAGGTGAGAAACACCCCAAAAATATGAATGCTGCTGAAGGAGGGGCCTGAAGCTGTCCGGGGCCCTCTTGTAGGGGCCCTTGTGAGGCGTGGCCCGCTGTTCGCAGCGCCGCCCCACGCCGGCCGCCCCCCAGCTCCCCAAGAGCTCAAGGACAGCTGTCCGGCAGGCACAGAGCATGAGAGCCAGGGCTTGCTGGGAGCCCGGGGAGGCTGCCCCTGCCCCCAAGGCCCAGGCGGCCAGCCGCCAGCGGCTCCGCCCCCCACCCAGCACTGGGGCCCTGCTGGCCTGCACCCCGCCTGCTGCATGTGGCCGTGGACCGCACGCAGCTTAGAGGCTGCCGGCAGGTGGGGCAGGCCCAGCCGTGACAGCCTGGGGGTCCCGTTGGCTTCACAGTCATGACGATGAGGACACAGTTCTGGGGGAAACACACAACACGTCGGGGGGTGGGGGGAGAACCACATCGGGAGAAGCAAAGCAGCCTGGACAGACGGAGACAGGACGCCGCCAGAGCGGGCCCCCGGCAGCCCCGGCACAGGGAAGAGACAGCGCAGGGGCACCACAGGGGGGTCTCTTCCGCAGGGTGTGCGGGTGGGGGCTGGGAACAGACACCGGGCTGGCCCCTTACCCTTCTTCTTCCGGATGGAGGCTTGCAAACAGAAAGGGGAGGGGTGAGTCCGTGATGGCAGTGCTCCCCCGGGGCCTGGCAACCTAACCCTGACCCCCAGCTCACGGGGCCACACACGGAAGGGTGGGCCGTCTAGACAGCTAGGATTACGGCTCTCCCAGGGACCCGGTGACCTTCCGGGGTGACCTTCCCCTTCCAACATGCCCGGTTGGTAAACCTGCTTCCCGGCCACGGGTGAGACGCTGTCCCCAAATGGGGGAGAGACGCCGAGGCCCGGGGGCCCTGCACGTGCTGCCCAGTGTTAAAGGCCATGCAGGGATTCTGTTGCCGTCCCCACCAAGTGCCACGCCAGGTGCACGGGGACAGCCCAGGCTCTCCTGGCGAGCCTTGTTTGGATGGACAGGACATGGCCAGGAGAAAAGGGGCTGGTGAGGAACTGCTGGCTCTGGGCGGGGGTGGGCGGCACCATAGTAGGGATGCTCGATTCTAGAAGACCAGGCCCCGTGCCCGTCTGCAGGACTGGTCCTAGGGCGCCGTGCCTGGTGCTCAGCGCACCCACCACGGACAGAAGGAGGCCCCTCCCAGAGGGGATGCGAGGAGGAAGGGCTGCTCTGTGCTCTCGCGGGGGAGGGTCCAGAAGGTCTCCCGGTGAAGGCCGGGGTCCGGTGGAGTGGCGTCAAGTTAAACACCAATGAGGGATGCTGGGACATCCCCCCCACTGGGCCAGCTGCACCGATGGGCGGGGTCCAGGCTCAGGGCTGGTTTCTGGGCTGCACGGGGCACCCAGACGCTGGCCCTTCATCACCCAGTGAGCCCTTCTCCATGCTCTCTGCGGAGCAAGCACATCAGCCCTCTCACCACTTCTTTGGGGGTCAGAGCCAGCCTCCTTCCAAACGTGTCCCTGGGCTCCATGGGGATGCCCCAGCACAACATTTAACCAGCATCTGGACAGCCCGCACAGGCCCCAGAACCTTCCCTCTCAGTAGCCAGCACTGCCCTGGACCTGGGGCCCATGCTGCTCTGAACACTGTTTCCTGTACCTCTGATGGGGCCAGTGGCTAGAGCCCTCCTGTACCTTGCAGACCTTTTAGAAGATTCCAGGAGCTTCCTATCCCTGGTGTGCAGCCTTCCAGACCTGCTGGCCCCACCACTATCTACATTGAACCCCAGGAATGGAGCTTTCTGGGCTGAGCCCAGCACGGAGGGCCAGTAAGGTGGATTTCGGGGGTGGGGTGCGCCCAAGACAGCAGGGAAGCTGTTTGGGGGTCACCGTGGGGCAGCTTACCTTTATCCACTAGTGAGAGGCCCAAAAATTCAAAACAAAACAATGTTAGATGAGCCGAAAACAGGGAAAGGTAGAACTAGCAACCACCCCGAAGCCAGCAGGGCTCCCACGGAGATGCCACGATGGGAGCCGCCCGCCCGCAGGGTTCCTGATGCCGTTTCCGGGGTTCAGGGGCAGGGCACGGGGCAAGCAAGTGAGCACAGGGCCATGCATGGGCTAACGCAGAGCGAAGACGTCCCAGGTGACAGCGGCGGAGGGGGCCCGGGCGGGCCAGACGGGCGACTCTTACCGAGCTCCTCCAGCTCCGAGGTCATGGACTTGGAGCGCAGGGTGAGGGCTGTGGTCGGAGCGCGCTTGGGAGGCGGGGGAGCTTGAGGGACAGAGGGGAGAGAGAGAGAGGTGTGAGAATCTGGTCCTGATGTCGCCCACCCCCGCTTCCAGAACAGCCTGGGAGGGGGTGGCCCTGAGCTTGTAGGGGAGGCAGACGGGTGGGCGTCCCCCAAGGTGGGGAAGCAGCTGTGTCACCCGCTGAGGCTCCACTCGGGCCATGAGGGGTCGGGACCGGGACAGGCCCTCTGTGGGGGCCCCTGCCCTCTGCACTGACCCCCCTGAGCACACCTGGCACTTGGGACCCCTGCCTTCCCCGAGGGAGCAGAAATCTGCAGAGGGGAGGCCGGTCCAGCTCTCTTTCTGTGCCATGTGTAAGAGGACACGGGCCTCACACGTGTGCGGATGCCCTGGACTCGGGGCTGCTGAGCACAGCCTTGCCTGGGGCCCCCAGTGTGCAGCGGGCAAGCTCCTCAGTTCTCTCTTCACCTCCCTGTCTGGCTGCTTTTCCTCCTCCCCAGGCGCCCCCTCCCCCAGGTGGGAGGGGGGGTGGGGGACACCTGAAAGTGTGCAAGCGCAGGGGGCTGGGGTGCGGGACGGGCAGGCACCTTTCTTCCTGGCGGTGTCGTCCGGGTCGAGATTCCTGGTCACGGTGACCACTTTGAGGACGAGGTGGTTCCCTCCCTGGCGGATCATGCTCACCACCTGCCGGTGGCCGACCTTCACGACATTCTCCTTGTTGACCTGTGGGGGAGATGGGCCGTGGTGAGGGGCCTGCGCGGGAGGAAGGACCAGCGCCCGCCCCTGCAGGGGCAGATGGACGGTGGGAAACCGCAGTGGCTTTGGGGGGACCAGGGGGTGCTGCTGTGGTGGCTGCAGGCCGGCTGACCTTGGCCAGTTGAGGGGGAATGACTGTCACTCTCTGCGGGGCTGTTTCCAGCCGCCAGGTGGCCGGGATGGAATCTCCTCAGACCCGTAGGGAATGTCTTGGCCACCAGCTACGTGCGAAAAGCCCGACAGGAGATTCCCAGGGTCCCGGGCTGTGGCCCTCCAGCTTTCCAGCTTTCCACACTTAAGAAGAAACACTAATTGCTTTTCACATATTTTGTAAACACACATCCCACTGAAACGGTCCATTTCCTCCAGGTGCTGCCTCCCTCTCTTCTCTTGCCGTCTGGCTCATCCGGCGACACCAGATGATGCCTCCACAGCGGACGCTTGGGCATTCGCCGCGGTCCTGGCCCCTGCCTCTGCCTTCACTTCCGTCTGTGCCCCCCACGCTCACTGAACTGGACCCCTCGCGTGGGGAGCTCAGGCACCTCCATCCCCACAGCTCCCCGTGTGAGCGCCGGGCACCGAGGGGCGGAGGGAGCTAACCCATGACCACCCTGTGTGCCGTCCTCCAAGAAAGAAGAGCCCCGATTGCAAAGAACGCAGGAGGAGCCCCTGAGGCCCCGCCCACCCCTGTTGTGGTGCTTTCTCCTGCTGGGGGTTCCCCAAAAACCTGTCAAGTGTAAAGGAGCCTTGCACAGAGAAGTCCACAGGCCTGATGACTCCTCACACGTGTCACCCAGGTCCCCACACTGACGACGGGCACCCTGTCCCGGCAGAGCCTCGGAGCACCAGGCAGGGGGACTCATGCTCCGTGGGACACTCGGCAGCGGCCCTGTGGTCTCCGCGGCCGGGAGAAGACAGACACGCCCTGGGGCCGCAGCCCTCCTCTCCCTCTCTCCGCCACACACATTCATTTTGCTCAGGGCAGCCTGTCCCTGCCCTCCAGAGTGGACATTCTTGCGGGGGGCTGGCCACATAGGGGTCAGTGAACAGGTGTAACCCCAGGTGTGCTGAGTACCACCCAAGAAAACAGGCCCAGGGAAGAGGAGGCAGGGACCTGGGCCCGCCGGGGTTTGGGGGCTCAGGCCTGGGCGGGTGGAGGAGCCCCTCTGCAGGACAGTGGGTGTGGGCAGCGCCCCGGCCCCACCTCCTTCCACCTGCAGAACATCTTCACCCCCGGTGAGTCCAGGGTTCCTCCTGGGGCTGGGTACCCAAGGGTGGGGGCCAGGCTCCTGGCTGCCTCCACTTCCCGGTGACGACAAGCCTGACGCCTGTTACTGGACAGAAGGGCCAGCTTCTCAAGCCTCCCCCCACCCCAGCCCCGTCTTAAGTCCCTATCCTGCTCTACAAAGTAAATACGCTTTGGATAGAGTTCTTCCCCCAAGAGATCTCTCAGAGTCAGAGCTGCAGGCTGTATGGCTCCAGGCTTTCGTGGACCAGCCACCAGTGCACGGGTGAGCACTCGGACAGCGAGGGCACAGGGGTGCTGGGTGGTGTGTGCTGCGATGCCTGTAAACGTCCCCCTGCGAGAAGAGCAGGCAGAGGCGCGAGGCAGCAGGGTCAGCTTGGAACTCACAAGACCAGGACCCAAGTCAGGATGGGCCTCAGCTGCGTTCTCCTTCCCAGCAAGGGGGGCACCGAAGAGCAAGAGCAGAGCCGCACTTCGGGGTTTATCAGCCTTTAGGGGGTGCCTGGGGGCTCACTCGGTTAAGTGCCTGACTCTCGATGTCAGCTCAGATCATGATCTCCTGGTTTGTGAGTTCAACCCTTGCGTTAGGCTCTGGGCTCTGTGCTGACAAAGTAGAGCCTGCTCGGGATTCTCTCTCTCCTCTCTCTCTGCCCCTCCCCCCCCATTCCTTCTCTCTCTCTCTCTCAAACATTTTAGAATTTCCCAGACTTTAATGTATTTTTTTAAATGTGCATTTATTTTTGACAGAGCGTGCGTGAGTGGGGGAGGCACAGAGAGAGCGAGAGAGACACATAAATCTGAAGCAGGCTGTCAGCACAGAGCCTCATGCTGGGCTTAAACCCACAAACTGAGATATCGTGACCTGAGCTGAAGTTGGACGCCCAACCAACGGAGCCACCCAGGCGCCCCCATAGAATTTCCCAGCCTTTAATCAAACTCAGAATTCACTTTAACCCACAATGGGACTCTACAACCAGCTACCGGCCCTAAAGTAGATGCTCTGAACTGCTTGTGTGGTGACAGAAGCCTCAGAGACTGAGTGGGTGAAGTGCTTACTGTTTTCCTTAGATGCCCAGGTTGGCATCTTGAACTTCCACGGGGTTCCCGTCCCTCAGAGCACCCGGGCCTGCAATTCTGGCATGCTGCCACCAGGGGGAGGTGTGGGCCTTGATCACCTGCCACATTTATGGAAGGTTAACCCCAATGCTGAGGCTCCTGGGATTACTGCCCCGCAGAAGAAAGAAACGGATTACAAGTCACGGATCCAGTTAACTGCAGGCATCATCCTTCCAGGCAGACACGGAGCCATCTAAGGAGGGGGTAAACCACGGCCATGTCCTGGCAGAGGGCAAGAACCCAGGTCTGGCATCCATCACGGTTCAGAAAGTCAGGCTGCCTTTGCACATTCTCGTACTTTTCTCAGTCATTCTCTTCTTCCACTTGAATTGTCATTCAAGATACAAAATTCACACGTGCACACTCTTTAAAGAGACACCGTCTGCAGAGCCCATTACAAAACCCAGAGGACGTCACCCAGGCCCCACCTGTTACCCCCAAAGCCTTCAGCTCATTCTTTCTAATCTAGCCCTGTGCCTCTGAACATGCTTGTGTGGTTGCTACTTGATGTTTACATTTTATATTATTTTTAAAAAATGTTTAAATGTTTATTTTTGAGAGAAGGAGAGCATGAGCAGGGGCAGGGCAGAGAGAGAGAGGGAGACAGAATCTGGAGCAGCTCTAGGCTGTCAGCACAGAGCTCGACATGGGGCTCGAAATCACGAATCACGCGATCATGCCCTGAGCCGAAATTGGATGCTTAGCCAACTGAGCCACCCGGGTGCCCTGATGTTCACATTTTAGATGCTGTCTGCTGACACACTGATGTGGAAACTGATGGCTTAGTCCAGGGTTTCTGAACAGTGGGCACAGTTGCAATTGTGGACTATTCTTTGTTGTGGGTGTACATGATAGGGTGTCACCAACGTCCTCTTCTTCCTATATGTGGCAACTGAAAATGTAGACATTGCCAAATGTCCACTGGGATGTCAGAGTTGCCCCCAGTAGACAGCCACTAATTCAGGTCTTGTCTTTCCCCTCCACTCACTCCAGACTTCAGCCCTCCGATTACAGGCCTATCATAATTCTGACTAGATCAACACCCAGGGTTTACATCACTACTGTGTACTATCTATTTAGAGCTAAGCCATATAGTATATTATGATTACTTTGTCTTTCACCATACATTATGTCTTCCCCGGGGTGAAATCATTTTCTGTTGTTTGTTTATTGGTTTAATTTCCCATGTATTTAGCAGTGATTCCAATCCAAACATTTCCTAATTATGGAAATCTCTTTTCAAAATCTTCAAATATGTCAGGGATTTTGTTAAGTTTATGCTCAAGAAATTGCTCCTGAAGACTTCAGCTGTTCTCGGCACAGTGTGGGTTTGGTGTTTTCTATGCCTGCGTCCCCATTACCACTGTCCCCAGGATTCCTTTCGAATCCTTCTTGTGTTGGGTCACCGGACTCCGAGACCCCCTGGGTATATTATTGGTTGTTAATTGTTGTAAAGCCTCATTTTTGGTAAAGGACATTCTCTAGTTGCTTCCCAGTGAAAGGAGTTTGGGAGATTTTTTTTTTTTTTGGACACATTGCTTATTTGAAAATGGCTTTAACTGCACACTTAACTGGGAGTTTGGGCACAAAATTTGAGGTTGGAGGGTAAGATAAAGTAAACTCCTGAGACCAGCTCCTCTGCAGGGAATGCTCACAAAGTCTCAGCAAAACAAGCCCCCCACCCCAAATCCAAACAAAAGCAGTTCTCTGAAGGCCCCGGAGTGTGAATTAAGGGAGGCAGATTTTGCATGGCAGTAGAAAGCCAGAAGCCCCGCACCATGTACAGAGGGCGATGCAGGTCCCCTAAAGCTATCATGGATAACTGCCGCCTTTCTGGTTTGAAAAGTCAGAGGGCAGAAACTTGGGAGGCGGCCTCAGCTGCCGAAGTGATGGGGGTGTCCCAGAAAAGAGAGACCCAGAGAATGGCAGTTCTATATTCCGTGTGTAAACTGTTCCCAAATCTCTTGATAGAGGTATGAAACTGCCTGCACCAGGCTAACTCAACGGAGCTTGCAGATAAGGCTAAAATGCCTGACCTGACATTTCAGCTGCTCCTACTGCCGGCTAGATACTCTGTAGTTGGAAACTAACCAAGGTAATTACCAGCTAAAATGCAAATGTCAACACTCATCCAAGGAATCTAATGGAATCCAGACTGTCACAGCATAGCATTTACAACATTCGGGATACAACGAACACTTACTTAATGAACCCAGACATAACTAAGATGTTGGAATTCCCAGATAAGAACTTTAAAGCAGCTATGATAACAATATTCAACTAGGTAAAGGAAAATACACTCATAATGCATGAAAGGTATGAAATATCATCAAAGAAATTTTTAAAAATGTAAAAAGTAAAAGTGTTAAAACTAAAAACTACAATATCATCAGTCAAAAAATGCACTGCGTGGGCTTAATAGTGAAATGGATATGGCAGAACAGAGTGAACTTGAAGAAACAAGTAGAATTTATCTAATATGAAGAAGAGAGAGAAAGGATTTTCAAAAGTGAGCAGAATCTTAAGGCCTTGAGAGACAATGCCAAAAGGTCTAATATTTCAGGTCCCAGAAGGGGAGAAAATTAGCATCCAGAACAGAGAGAGAAAATGGGCCAGAAAAAATATACTTTAAAAAATGATGGCTGAAAACTTCCTCAGTCAGGTGTAGGACATAGATTTACAGATTTAAGAAAGCCAGTGAATCCCAAACAGGATAAATATAAAGAAAATAACCCCTAGGCACATTACCGCCAATCTACTGAAAGTCAAAGGTAAAAGGAGGAAACCCAAAGCAGCCAGAGAATAATGACACATTACTTACGAAAGAACAGTGATTTCAATGACTGTGGACTTCACATCATTAACTATGGAGGCAAGACTGTGGAACATTTTTAAACTGTGAAGCCTAGAATTCCATACCCAGTGAAAATAGCTTCAAAGAATGAAGGCAAAATAAAACATTTATAGATAAGTGAAAGCCTTGAGAATCTGTTGCCAGCAGACGTGCACTACAAAAAAAATGTTAAAGGAAGTTCTTCAAGCTGGAGGGGACTGATCCTAGGTCTTAGAGGCATGAGGATATCAGAAGTAGTAAATACCCAGGTAACACAGAAAATACTATTTTCCCTCTTATTTGAAAAATAGGTATGACTGAGGCAGAATAAAATTGTTTCATGGGGTTTACGAGGTAAGTAGATGTGACACCTGTGACAGCTGTAGCGCACGTGAAGGCAGGAGTGAGGAAGGCACACCTACGTGGTTGCAGAGTTATATTCCCTGTGAATTTTAAGTGGGCTGAAAAGTTAAGGATGTGTCCTATAATCCTAGAGCCCACCACTAAAAAGAATGTAAATTACAGCAAAAAGCAAGTACATTAAATGGATTTCTAAGAACGAATCCAAGAAAAGCAGAAAAGGGAGAACAGAGGAAAAGAGAAACAGAAACAAATAAACTGGTTGACTTGCATTGAAAAGCACCAGGAATTACATTAAATGTTAATTGGATAAAACTCAAGGTAAAAGGCAGATGCTATAAGGGGTGCCTGTGTGGCTTCCTTTGCTTAAGCGTCTGACTCTTGATCTCAGCTCAGGTCATGATCTCTGGGCTTGTCAGTTTGAACCTTGTGTTGAGCTCTGCACTGACAGTGTGAAGCCTGCTTGGGATTCGCTCTCTCTCCCTCTCTGATCCTCTCTCATACTAAATGAGCTTTAAAAAGTGGGGCGCCTAGTAGGCTCAGTTGGTTAAGCATCTGACTCTTGCTCCTGGCTCAGGTTATGATCTCACAGTTTGTGAGGTCAAGCCCTGCATCAGGCTCTGTGTTGACAGCATAGAGCCTGCTTGGGATTCTCTCTCTCCTTTGCTCTCTGCCCCTCCCCACTCTCTCTCTCAAAAATAATAAACTTAAAGAAAAAGGCAGATACTATAAAAATGGATTACGGGGAAAGATCTAATATGCAGGTCAGAGGGGTTGAAAGCAAACAAATGGAAGGTTTCCCATAGGAGCTGCTATATTAACATCTGACAAAAGAGACTTCAACCACTTTGAACAGTTGGGCGATTCCTCAGA